TCTCGAGCCGAGCGAGAACAAGCGGATCCGAGGCAGTTTTTTTTATTTTGGTATTCAGTTGTTTTACACGTCTTGCGAAATTGACGTCCTCGCTCGTATATTTGCTCTGGCTGGAGGAGATGGGGGGAAAAAATCGTTTGTCACCTAATCGCTTACCCTTGGAAGCCTGCCGCTAAGGTGAGAATCCATAAAAAGACCTCACCGTGATTGGATTACAATTTGCATTGCCGTATACACAAGCATAAAAAATATCTTTGTCATTTTTTTCTTCTTATACCTCTATCACTCTATTGCTTGCATCATTTAGTCAATCTCAGCCTGGCTCAATTCGATCGCTCTAGGATGTATTTATCTATATCCCCGTCTTAATCTAACCAATAATCCTCGTTTGCCAATATTTCTCATTCTCTCACGCGATAAACATCTCTAACATGCTACATAATTGACTCTCTTTCTCTCTCTCTCTCTCAGGTGAAACATTCATTATTTCTCTTTTTCCCTCTCTCTCCAAATGTCAACCGCTTTTGTAAGGCCTTGGAAGGAAATCGCGTGAAGACGCTAGAACGAGAAAAATCGCGGACTTGAAGGTGGGAGGTTCGTTTGGCTGTGGTCTTTTTGGGTTTGCCCAGTAGGTCGGTAGTGGACGGGAATAACTGGATTGCCGGACGGAGAAACCAGCTCTCCTGTAAAATTCCACGGGTTCACCGGGCTGTTGATTAAAAATTGAAATATTTAAAACAAAACCAAAAAAATCAAGTCAACAATCCGGACAAATAGCCCGTGCGTCAAAACACCAGAAATGGTTTTCCCATCCTGCCCTCCGTTGAAGGCGTGAATAGTTAATGAGCTTTGGCACTTCCGATTGGAATTTTCCAATGATGCCATTAACTTGACGATGACAATCATTGTTAAAACAATGAAAGACTGTGAGAAAAATAAGAAAACAAAAGCACGTGATCGACCATGAACCGGCCACCTGTCTCATTTTCTGACCATTTCATATTCTAGATCTAGCAGTTGGAGAAAGAACTGGAAAAAAACGATCGCGCATAATTCATTCAGCGCTGTCGATATGAATAATTGGAATGAAACATAAATAACGGATATAAAAATAGAACGAGATTGTAAGTGGTTGCGAGAGATGAGCTTCACTCTCACACTCGGTTATTCATACCGTTCACTTACTCAAATCATTCACTTGCCCTTCAAATTCATTCCCCCGTTCGATCCACTCACTCAGAATACCACCTCATTCATACGGTTCACCCCCTTACTCTCTCCCAAAAACTCATATTAATCATTTGCTCTGTGATACAAGTACCTCACAACTCCTTTAATTAAAATATCCCTTTCTTTCCACGCACTCAGCATGGACGTTCCAGCTCATTCATTTGGTTCACTCTCACAAAAACTGACATCAATCACTTGCTCCTTAATTTAATTACTTTTTCGTTTCAATCACTCAGCATACCAGCTCATTCATTCGGTTCACTCGTTCACACTCTCCTAAAAACCTAACATTCTTTTGTTCGTTCCACTCACCACACCACCTCATTCGTTCAGTTCATTAGCTCACTTTTCCCGAAAACGACATTCTTTTGCACCTTTATGCCATCGTTCCGTTCATACACTCATCCGCACACTTTATCATTCACTTGTTCCCCATCTCATACGTTCTTCTCATCGACGAACTCACTCGTTCCATGCACTCGTTTGCTGACATAAATTCCCTAATTCACTCACTTGCTCCATTCACTTTCTCCTTGGTTTCATTTTTCAACCCACCCGAATCGTTCAGTCACTCTATTGTGAGATTTCTCCGTGTGGTTTACCGATCAGTTTTGACCTGCCATTCATTCGATTCGTTCGTTCGTAACTTCCGATTCTTTTCAGCTGAGGGTGCATTAGTTGAAAATTCGATTTTTTTGTTTTTCGATTCCGGAATGCGGCGCTAGGAACGCCTGGCACGGGTGGCACTTAGTACTTAAAACCGTCGGTCGATTCAAATGGGAGACCGAAAATAGCGGTAAAACACGGTCCTTGGACTAGTTCTGCACCGAGGGTCGGACGGATCAACAAAAAGTAGAGGAAAAAATAAAAGACTATTACACTTTGCTTAAGAGAATCGTGTATCGGATTAAAACAGCCCAAGTGGGGTACGCCGACATTGACTTTCTTTTTTTTAATGGGACACGGTTGCGAAAACCAAAATCGAACTGGCTTTTTAAAAAAATTTGCGTTTTTTTTTCTCTTATGCTATCTGAACAGTTGGGCCGCAATTAAGAAGGTACCGCACACCAGGGCGAGGGTAAGAGCGAGGGACGACGGGCCCAATCTGCAATCCCCTCACGTGCACGCATACCATCGCCCGATATTCTTTATTGCGTACGCTTTCACCGCAAGGATGAACCAGGCTCTCGACAAACGAAAAAAAAACGCGCAACTTAAAATTATTGCATTTTTTTAAGTACTACCTTGAGACATCGAATCTTCCTATATTTGAAATGACGTCGACAGTAAGTTCGAAAACGGCGTTTTTTCACCAACTCGAGTGGTCATTATCGGCTAAATGGTCTTTATTGATGAGCGCCTGACATTTGACCATTTCTCTGAGAACCTGTTTTTCCGTTTTATTTTGCCTTTTTTAAATCGCGTTGTTCCACTTTAAAAATCCTTTTCGACATTGGGACATCGTGTTTGTGGGTATGTGCGTTTGTTAGACACTGAACTTCATCAATCAGCCAACTTGAAGGGTTAAATATATGAAAGAACGAATTGAGTGTTCTGAAAGAGTGAGCGAGAGAAATGAGTGTCTCAACGAGTGTACAAAGGGAACGAATTGAGTTCCAGAACGAATGAACTAACGAATCGAGTGCCTGAACGATTGATCACATAGACATAAGGGGCGAATGAATGCTTGAACGATTGCACTTAGGAAGCGAATGAGTGTCTTAAGTAGTGAACAAAGGGAGTGAAGAGGGAGAGAATCGAGTGCTTGAACGATTAAACTCAGGAAGCGAATGAGTGTCCCAACGAATGAACCATGTGAAAATAGGGTGGCAGCGAAATGAGAGTCTGGACAAGTGAACAAAGGGGGCGAATGAGTGTCTTAATGAGTGCACAAAGGATGCCAATCGAACGTGTGAACAAAGGTAATTAAATATAAGCGAAAATGTGCGATTGAATGACGTAAACATTCGATATTTTTTCACTTCCCCCCACAAATCGAATTGTTTGGAAACTCATCACGGAGGGGCGCTAATGTTTTTGTTTTTTTTAGCTTACGCTCCCCCCCACACATCGAAAAAACAGTACATCCTTTACTGTCAGCTCGGCAGGTAAAACTTGTTTTTTTTCTCCTTACGTTAAAATAAAAAATAGAATATAAAAATATTAAATCCCCTTAACTGTCAAATTTGGATTATATGAAAAACAATTGACAGTTTGGCAACACTGTTCGACTAGTGCTAAGACTTCTGTTTTGTCCTACTGTTTATTTTTTTCCCGTGTATTTATGAGTCTTTAAACGTTTGGGAAATGTTTATATCGAAAGAAAAAAAATAGTAAATAATAGAAGAGGAGAAAATCAACAGTCAACAAGTATATCAAGGGGTTGATTGAGGCAGGCAAGAGATGTTCAATTTTTTTCTTTATTTTTTATATTTTCAACAAAAAAAAAAAATCGTTTCCTGTACATGTGCATACATCCATAACTCGAAAAAAGGCAAAACTGTAAACCAATTATACTTACAAGCTTGGGAAGCTTGGAGAGTGTGTTCTCGGCGAAAAAATCCACCAGTCGTGACATCTTAAAGAATTATTGAAAAAGATTTCTGCAGATAAAAGCGGCATGAAGGTGTAGTATCGACCTTTCCCCCCTTTTTTCTCTTCCTTATATTTTTTTTCTTTTTTTCTTAAATATAACAAATACAACAAAATCAAACTCTCCACGCGACAAGCGTGGCAACTATGTTTTATGAAAATTGGCTGATCGGTGATTTTTTTTATATTATTATTAACAATACAAATGTTTTATTAGACCGGCTTGAAAAAAAAATTTATTTCCTCTCGAAATTTTTATTCAATGAAATGGATAAAAAACAAAGACAAAACAATGAACTTTAATGGGGGGAGATGTACGAGAAAAAATAAATCGGGGAAAACTAACAGGTCGGTTTTTTATTTAAATTTGTTATTATTGTTTAAACAAAGTATAAAATTGACATTAATTTTTCAAAAAATGACACCCCCCGCCCAAGACTTGTTTTCGACGAGCGTGGCAACACTGTCTTCACAATACGAAGGCCACACAAGATATGCATATTTAATTTTAATTTACACAAAAACAATGTTTCAACCAAATTAACATTTTATTGAAAAGCGAATAAATCCATTTCCTCCTGATCATCCTAATCTTTCTGTTGGACCCGGCATGATAACGTGTTTTGTTCAATTATAACGATGGAAAAATAAATTTTATTTTTAAAAAGGAGAATTAGAAAATTTATTTTGTTGGCAACACTGTTAATTAAATTCACTAATTTCTGGTCCGCTTGACCTGTTAATTAAATGGAGTTAAATTTTTATTCTCGATACTATATCAATTTTCCTAAAAATTTTATTCAAATTTTTTTTCTGGGAAAATGTGATATTTTATGGAAATATTTGACAGGTGGATTTTATTTTTTTATTTATTAACTTATTTTATTTTTTTGAGTGGATGAAATTTTGGTCAAATTGGCAGGAATAGACGTGTAAAACATGATCAGCCGTGGCAGGCGGATCCGTTGAAAGACTTTTTTTTAGTTGAATCGGAAATGGTGAAACGCTTCCTCCTTTTATCGTCGGTTTAACCGTGTTTATCAACGTTTAACGTTCTAAAAATAAAATGGGCGTGCCCCTCCGGGTATTATTTTTTTTTTAATAAATACACGCCGAAACATCGAGCTTTAGATTGTTTGCTCGATTTAAAAAAAATGGAATTTATGGTCATTTCTTACCTTTTTATCGGTTTGTTCTCTTCCGTCTCTTCCTCCTGCACCTACCTGATGCCGCCGTTGGAAGTCAGGCGTCGTGAAATATCACGAAACGTCTTTGCAGCTCTGTTGTGTTCCCGCCGGCGGTGCCATACCCGGGTGTCGGCTTCCTTTTCCACGACGACTGGACTCGACCTGTTGGGGCCGGGAACGAGGGCCGATTAATTTGAGCGAAGTCGTACAAAAAAGAAAAAAAAATGGAAAACATACAAAAAGGAACGTCGAAGTATAGGAAAAACTCGGCGAAACTCCGGCGGCTAAGGAGAGCGAGGCGAGGAGGAGCGGAGCCGTGATAAAAAAGGGCCACGGCCGCCAACCGCAACAGGAGAAATTTACCGGCAGGTTAAGCCCTTCTGACAGGGAGCTGAACGAGAAAACCGGCAAATTTCTTGGCATTACCTCAAGGTTCCACCACTTATGTACAAAATCATCTAAATAAAATAAGTAAAGTATAAAGTTAGTCGAGTCTTGACAGTCAAAATAGTTTTCGGTCTTAGAGCTCAAGTTGCCTCTTAGGTCTCGGGTGGGGATTTCAAGTCCGACTTTAAATGCTTTACATGATCCCTCTATCAGTCACCGCAATAATATTCTGATTCTTCTAGTGCTCTTCAAGCAAGTCAGTCTCCAAAAACCCATTAGTTCAGAACATTTGGCAAAATTTAAAGGCTCTTCTGTTTCCTTCATTTGGATACCGAGTCATGTCGGGATTAAGGGAAATGAGCTAGTTGTCAACGCAGCGAAAACTTCACAGAACAATCCCATCATCTCAGTTTTAGTAAATCCTTAAAATATAAAGTCCGCTTTCAAACTTAAGTTAATTAAAATTGAGGAAAATGGGTGGAAACAAACCAATTACGAAATATAAAAGAGGTTAGACCTTGGGGAAACATCCCACCAGGTACAAGGACATGACCTGGAAATACCGCCTCACTAGGGGCAAGGACTTGACCTGGAAGTGCAATCTCACCAGGTACAGAGACGTGACCTGGGAGTACAATCTCACCAGGTACAAGGACATGACCTGGAAGTACAATCTCACCAGGTACAGGGGCGTGATCTGGGAGTACAATCTCACCAGGCACAGAGACGTGACCTGGGAATACAATCTCACAAGGTACAAAGACATGACTTGGGAGTACAATCCCACCAGCTACAGGGACATGTTTTCCTGGGGGCGTACTGCTCGCTGCTTGGCAGGGGAAGGCTGCTCCTCCTGCCGGTGAGTCCAGTTCTGGAAATCAAAGCATAGAAAAAGAAGAGATAATTGTCTAAAGGAAACCAATACCATTGGTAGTACAAAAGCGATTATAGCCGTTGATGTTTTTCGCCTAAAAAAGAAATCAAGCCGTCTGCTGTCTAGAATCGTCCTACGATAGTATAATCCTAGTATTTGAATTTAATGGTATCTCTTTGTTTTTGAAGTACAGTGGATGGCAAGACTGTTTATTCAACGTTCATACATTTTTTGAAATTTTAATTTCATTTTGTATAAATTATTAAATTTTGAAGGCCTACTACAGATTAAAAATGGTAGACAACATGACAGATTCGGCCGAGACATGATTGGCATTTTCACACTTTGAAAAAAAAAAAAATCATTGTGTAAGTGGAAGTAGATCGAAGGCGATTGTATATCAGATCAAACCATATATCTTGTTATAAATAAATATTAAAAAAACCACTGCTCTTGAAATCCAGACTAATCTCTAACTACGGCTTTCGTTCGACATTAGCGGAATCTATCACAAATTCTCAACTGAACAGTGGAAAGAAGTTTTCGACGTAAATAATGAAGTTAATTTCTTATTCGTTTTTTTTTTTTAATTCTTTTTTTAACTGCTGTTTCTCTGTAAAAAAAAATCCAAGGTCACCTCACAAAATAAGACAGAATTGATGACCAAGGGCGTTAATATATCCTCTAAAAAATAGAAAAGTTAACGAAGGCTCAGACTCAGTTAGGGAAACGATAAAATTAGAGAAATAGTAGAAGATATAGAAGGGACATTAAGACCTCAAGGCCTAGAAGATGCAGTACGTATCAAAAGTCAACAGTAGTAGAAAAACCATGGAAATAATCGTGAAAAATGATAAATGAGTAGGTTAAAAGTAAGAACTCAATAAATCATTGGGCACTTAATTAGAATAATGAAATTATTAAAAATCTTAGGATTCCGGATTATTGGTTGGGTTTTTGAGATTGCCTCTTTTTTTAAGATTGTTTTTGAAATAAGCTCTTCCACAAGGGGTATACAAAAAATTCAAATATTTTTCGTTTATATATTTTCACCTTATTGTTTGGTCCGCCCATTCTTGCTGTTTCAGTTTATATCGTAGTGTAAAGTTATATATGAAATACATTTGACAATACATGTTGTTTTGACTTCTTTACGTCAGGGTTGCCAACCGAACAGCGCATTTTCATACATCTAAACTAAATATAATTGAAATACCTTTTAATTACCTATTAAGTCCGTTACAGTCTGGTCCGCCAGTTCTCGCTGTTTCTATTGTTATCTTAGTATTAAGTCTCTGTTAATGAAACATATTTGACGCGACGTGTTGTTTGGACTCTGCGTCAGTGCTGCCAACCAAGCAGTGTATTTTCTTACATTTAAGTTAAATAAAATTGAAATACCTTTTATTTATCTATTTAGACATTACTGTTTGGTTCGCCTGTTCTCGATGTTTCATTTGTTAACGTAACATTAAATCTCCTTCATAAACGAAACATTTGAAAATACAGATGGTTTCGACAAACTGGTGGGTTTGCAGAGTTGTCAGTGCTTCTTAACCAAACCGAGTATTTTCTTATCTTTAACCTTTTCGTTCGTTTTTTTTATTTTGGTCCGCCTGTTCTCGCTGTTTCGATTTTTATTATAAAGCAAGTTGTAAATGAAAATTATTTGACTAAATATATTGGTTGGATTCTTTACTCATATCCAGACTAAATATAGTTAAAATAGTTTTTCATACATATTTTTTCTCTTATTGTTTCGCCGGCCTGTTCTCCCTATTAGGTTTTTATCGTAGAGTAAAGTCTCTTTTTTATATAAAAGATTCGAAAACAGGCAGATTTGAAGAGTTAAATCAATGTCTTAACCGAACAGAAGAATTTATTATAATTATAATATTTATCGTTAGTTAAATTTTATTGCCTACCTTCCGTTTTTGGTCCGCCACTTCTCGTAGTTTCAGCCTTTCCCGTCTCGCAGCCTTCGTGCTAAATGAGGCTTATTTCAACTTATAGGCTTCAACTATAAAAGGCGATTGGCCGTTAAGTCAGTGCTGCCAACTCAACAGCGTGTTTTCTTATCATAATTGTTTTTTAAGACAAATTTGTTTACCCTATTATTGGGTCCGCCTGTTCTCGTTGTTTCGGTTGTACTCGTCGAGCCACTATTAATCACTTTCTGTTATAAATAAAACATAGGTATTTGAAAATTATATTGTGCGGTTGGCGTGTTAAACAATGCTGCCAACTGTACTAATACTGTACTGGTATTCCATTAACTTAAACTACAGTTGTAATATTTTTTTATGAAGTTCAAATTATGTTCCCCATTTATTGTTATTTTTAATTGCCAAAAGTTTTGTACACAATGAAAATCGAGCAAAAATTGTACAACTATGTGGAGATGGAATAGTAATCGTCGATGACTTAAGTCAGTGGACAAAGTGAGTAGTCTTTTTTTAAATTATTCATTAACTTCTGTTCAAAATTTAATCGTTATTGATCTGAAACTTGCGTTTGGCTTTCGATTATGAGTGATCAAATCTTAAGTACCTGTTGGACTTTTTAAATGTTTAGCAATCATAATTAACTTTATTAATTATTTCAATTAATTATATTCTTTATTTAAGGTCTTTGTAGAGAAGGAAAAGTTAGAGGCACAAACCCATGACCTTCAGCTCAATATGCCACCGCTCTAACCACATGCATGAGTTCTCATGTTATGTGGTCAGAGCAGCGTATTGAGCTGACAGTGGTTTTTATCCTGCTCGTGACACAACTTTTTCATCTCAACAAAGTCCTTAGAGTATAATTAATTAAAAATGATAATAACATGATCGACTCAATGACCAGATGACAGACAGTTTGACCAAATGCCTCATTGGGTCGTGACTATGAGTCAAGACTGATTGATTCAGTGAGTGCCCGATTGACACAATGAGCGAATGACAGACTGTGTGACCAAATGCCTGATTGTCTTGATCAGTGTCTCTGGATGAGTCAAGAACTGATTGATTCAATGAGTGGCTGATCAATTCAGTGAGCAGATGACAGGCTGTACAACCAAATGCCTCATTGTTTTAACAAGAGACTCTGATTGAGTCAAGAACTGATTCATTATTCTACTCAGTGAACAGACTGTGTGACCAAATGCCTGATTGTCTCAATCAGTGACTCTGAATGAATGAAGAACTGTTTTGATTCAGTGAGTGCCTGATCGACTTAGTGAGCGGACGACAGACTGGGTGACCAAATGGCTGATTGTCTCAGTCAGTGAGTCTGAATGAGTCAAGACTATGATTTGGTGAATAACGTTGAGTTGAGTTTGTTGAGTCAATAACAATAAAACTGTGAAATGTCCCTGAGCAAATGGCAGTTGGTGTTCTATTTCTCTCTTTAAGGGGGCATATATAAAATATTAGTAATAATAACAACATAAAACTCTCAATAACAACTAGTTTTTAATTATTATTTATTATTATGACTCAAGCTTATAATAAACATTTTGTGTCCTTTCTTATCTAATTTTTTATAGCTTACAAATTATAAATGTATCTATAAGTCAGGGAAAAATACATAATTACCAATACACTTTAATTAAAATAAGTTTACAAAATAAAATAAAATAAAAATCTATAAATAATATCATATAACAAAACAAAATAATCATATCTTTTGCATTTACAATATAATAATGTATTGCAATATAAAATCATCACAATTTGTATCTACAAAAAAATATACAAATTTTTTTAACCTAATAAATTTAAAAAAAAAAATACACTATAAGCCTAAGAATATGAACAATGACTCACTTTCTTAAACAATTAAAATGCCACTCGTCGACCATTATTTTTTAATGATTATTAATAATACACAAATCTGTTTAAAATGCATTGTAGGCGTTTAAAATGCAGGATACAAATTGTAATCGAACCTATTTAAATGTTAATTTAAAAAAAATTAAAATATAAACAAAGGAAAATTGGGGGAGAATGATAATTGCTGACCATTTTTTTAAATAGTCATGGTTAAAACTGAAAAAATAAGATTACTGTGTCTTATATCTTCCATACGGCTTGCCGGCCCTAGCCTGGCCGGCGGTTGTTGCTGTTCTTCAGACGGCTGGCAGCCGCTTGCGGTACGTTAGTGCGCCCCGCCGGATTTACTGTGGTTGATCAGCCACTGCAGCGTTATGTCGATGTTGTCCTTCGACTTGCAGGAAATCGAGTAGCAGCATATCTCCCTGTCTTGGATCGCGCACAAATTCCTGGAACAGGAATGAGGAGGGGGTGATCGGCGAGTGTAAAAAATTGTGTATCTATAATGGATCATACGTTGGCTAATTGATAAAGTAAGGTAATGTTGAAACTGACTCAGTGAGCGACTGGCTGTCTGTGAGTGTGACAGAATGCTTCATTGTGTCAATGAGTGAGTCAGACTCAGAACGAGCTGACAGCTGATTGATTCAGTGAATGACTCATTAATTCAAGCTACACAGACTGATTCCATAGCTAAATGAGTAAACTATGAATGGGTCAACAGCTAATTGATTCAATGACTGCCTGATCGACTCAGGGAGTGGAGATTATGATTGTAACGGAATGCTTTATCGAATGACGGAATGAACAGACTCCAAACGAGCAGACAGGTGAGAGACTCATTGATTCAATAAGCTTCGCAGACTGATTCCACAGCTAATCGAGTAAACTACGAATGAATAAACAGCTGATTGATTCAGTGAGCGTCTGATCGAGTCAATGAGCTAGTAAATCATTAATTGTCTTAATAAAAATTGACTCAATGAGTTATTAAGACAGACTGATTCGATAGGTGAATGTTACAGTGAGGGCATGAATGAACCAATGAGCTAGTGAATAGTGAACGATAAACCACGGGACGATTCTACTCACATTCTGTCGATCAGTTCCTTTTCATCTAGCGAGTTCGGCAGGTCCCGTTTGTTTCCAAGTACGAGTACGGGTATGCCCATGAGCTGCGGCTTGTCGAGCAGGTTGTGCAGCTCGTTGCGCGACGCCTCCAGCTTGTCTGGGTCGGCGGCGTCGACCATATAACTGAAAGTGAATTTGTTAATTTGAATTCATAAAATAAAAGTGATGAAAGAATAATAAGAGCTCTTACACAATCGCATTGACGCCTCTGCAGTAGCGTTCCCACATGGAGCGGAACCTCGGTTGCCCTCCTATGTCCCATACTTTGATCGTGACATTACCCTTCGTGATCTTGCGCATGTTAAACCCGACCGTCGGGATCATGTCCTGGGTAAACTGCCCAGACTGTAAATGAAAATCAAAATAAATGATTATTTGGAGATCGTGTGATGCGGTCTGGTGTGGCATAGTTTTTAGAAAAACATTTCTTTATCGTGCCAACGTTTCGATCTGTATTGAGATCACCTTCAGGGATCAAAGTGTTTGTTTTCTGTGTAGATGTGTCATATTATTGTGTCGTGTGAGAGTGGCAATGAGATATTCGACATTCAAAATAAATGCTTATTCTGTTATGTACTTAAGTGAAGTGTTTTGAACGAGAATAACAGGGAAAAAAGAGTGAGCGAATGAGCGAACTACTGTCATGTATGATTGATGTGATAGAGAACGTTCATTACATTGTTTCAAAAAATCAATAATAAAATTATTACTGTAACCTTCCAACATAGTCCAGGGGCATATTTGACAGGTCTTTAACTAGGAAATTTCAAGTATATAACGTGGCCATCAAATTATTAATAAAGTTTTTTTGCTATTTATTATGCAGTAAAATTAGTAATTTTGGCATAAATTAAGCGTTGGACACTAAAAACTTTTTAAAAATATTTGACAGGATAACCTTTCCACGAGAAACCTTCCCATTGGCAAATTGACAAAAAAAGAGTTTAGAAGTGTTTTTTTGTTTGTTTATTGTTGATTGTTGTCGTGGAATGGCACAAATGCAATTTAATGGTTATTTTTCCCCTCCAAGTGGAGAAAGGGCGACGTTTTCTAATCAACGGTGAATGTAAGATAGATAAGATTTAGTATTTATTTTGAAGACAAGATTTAGATGATTAATTTTTTTGTAAAGTTTGTGGAAAATACTCTCGATACATAACGCTGTCTGTTCAGACGGTGCATAAAAAAATAGTATTGAGGATTTTTTTTTTCAATTAAATAAATCAGATTTTGTTATTATAATAATTTAAAAGTGGATGGTTGCTTGCTATAACCTGCGCAATAGGAACCTACCGGCCCTGTAATCAAAAAACCAATTGTCATTAATATTTTCTCTTTTTTCTTTTATCAACGCTTGACACACAATTTGTGTTGTTTAAAATACAAAAAGTCCCGATTGAAAGGTGTGGTTAAAATTTTGATGTGAAGGCAATTTGTTGAAACATTGAAAACTTTGTTACTGCTTTTTCTGTACATAGATCGCCAATTGGAGTATGTTTTGTAAAAGGTTGCTTGGGCATGTATGTTTTCCTTTGTAAATAAGACGTAATTGTTGGTTTGATGTTTATCAGGTTGTAATTATTGGCCGTAATTTTTTTTTGAGGCCGAGGAATTAAAGAAAAATTGAGGCCAGTTACTCACAGCGATAACGTTGACGAAGGTGGTCTTCCCCGAGCACTGGAGTCCGACTAGGGTCAGCTCCATCTCCTCCTTCCAGAACAGGCTCCGGAACCAGTCTAGTATCCTGTTTATGACGGAGAGCATGTTGAATTTATTCTCGCCCTTCGGGTCGTCTGGGTTTTGTCCAGGAAACGGGGGTACAAATCGAAATCCCTTTCGGAACAGAGGCCGAGCTCAAAAGACGGCCATCTTCTTATCAATTGGTTTAAGACTTCGTAAGTTCGTTGTCAGCGATCTGCCGGCCCAGTGTTGCCAATATACGTCACCCCCGCCCGACAAAATATCCCGAAACACTTAATAAACAATAAAAATTGCTGAAATCAATTTAAAAAAAATTAAGTTAATCAAACGATTAGCTAATTCAATTTTTGAAATAAAAATCTAACAAAAACACTTTTAAGAAGAAAAAAAGATACTACAATTACCCATTCTTTTATACTATATATAGTATAAAAGATATATATAATTGTACTAAGATTTCCTAACTTTAATGTGTTTTAACCAATTGAACAAAAATAGAATAAATAAACAATTATTTATTTAAATAAAGCATCGTAATTAATCATTTAAGGGTATTGTTAGCACAATAAAAGCTGTAAATGCATAAAAAATATGACAAAATTTTCCAGAATCTAACAAAAACACTTTTTTTTTTAAAATAAAAAAAATAAAGATACTACAATTACCCATTCTTTTATACAATGTGTAATTATTGTACTAAAATTTCCTAACTTTAATGTGTTTTAACCAATTGAACAAAAATAGAATAAATAAACAATTATTTATTTAACTAAAGCATCGTAATTAATCATTTAAGGCTATATTTAGCAAAATAAAAGCTGGAAATGCATAAAAAATATGACCAAATTTTCCAGAATCTAACAAAAATACCCTTTTAAAATAAAAAATAAAGAATTTTTTCTAAATTTTATAATTTTAATGTATTTTATCCAATTAAACAAAAATAGTATAAATAAACAATTATTTATTTAAATAAACCATTGTAATTAATCATTTAAGACTATATTGAGTAAAAGAAAAGCTTGAAATGCATAAAAAATATGACAAAATTTTCCAGAGTAATTTCAACACCCCCTATCTGCAATTTATGGATCTGTTTCTAGCAAATTGTGTCGTTAATAAACCCAAATTCAAACTTTCATTTGCAACAATAAAACAGTTACTTAAAAAAAGAAACATAAGACATAACATGGCTTTGATGCTTCTTCCACTGACTGCAGAATCTGAACCTAACAACTTCAATTTCTCAACTCTTCCCTTGTAGTCTTCTGCGTCACAGTATTTGCCCGGTCGGTACTTTCCTATTCCAATGGGTCAGTGGTATCCAGTGTGGTTTTATAATTTTTTTTAAAATGCATTGTCTGATATTAGTACCAGAACGATTGTTTTATTATCTGACATGTCTTCTTATGATTTTTTAAATTATTTGAATAAAAAGTATCGAACTTAGTTTTTATTTATTTATAATCTTTTCTTGTCTTTTTTTGTTGTTTTGTCCCGTTTGAAAAAATCTATCAGCACATTTGGTAGTTATTGAACATGTTTTCCTTCGTCACAATCTCTTACGCCTGCGAATCTGCTGGTGCAGAAATACTGTACGCTCTTGCAGTTTAGTCTGCGACCTTGCAAAAGACAAAAAATATATATATATATTATAAATAATATGGAGGCGGATCAAATTACTTGAACATAAAGGCCTTTTGTATCATATTTGGAACGACACAATCGTAGCCGGGGGATCCGGGGAGGCGCATCCTCGGCAGACACTCTGGCAAGTCTTCCGCCCTGCTAAAATAATTGTATGAAAGTTTTTTTTTTTTTTTTTTTTTTAATTAATAAACCTTGGCTGGATGTTATGGCAGGCAGGGGTATCACTGAATCGACTCTCTTCCTGGCCCAGGGGGTCATCGTCCAGCTGGTCCTTCCTTGCCTTTATGAACCTGTCGTCCCTATCAGCTTCTGCATCGTCGTTCAACTCCTCCCAAGCGATGAACACTCCGCATCCGAGGATGAAGATGATGGTCAATGTCAGGATCAGGCTAGCGAAAACTAAAAGGAAACAGACCAAGAGATTCAACGATGCATATTGCATTTTTTTTTTTCAATATATATTAAAAAAAAAATTGCAAACCACATGATTTTCACTTTTTTCTCTTTTGAGATACATATTATTTTGAGACATACACATATTAAGTACATATCAAAAGATACCCATTTTAATTATTATTACATAAGTACATGTGGTCCTTAATTATAATTTTTTATTCAGAAAGCTTGGTGCATTAAAAACATGTAAAACTTTTTATAAAAAGAATAAACAGTAAAAGCATTACTAAATATTTGCACTTATACATATTTTATTGTTTGATTTAAAATTACATTATTGTAGTTTACTATGTTGAAGAGGCTCCAAGTCATTTCAACCCCCATCTTATCTTTTACTTCTTTGACACTGCACTTAAGTTATATTGACGTCAATTTGGCATTAGGAGTTATGGTTTGTTCTCATTCCTGGTTAGGCGGTGCCCATGTGTGGTCCTGGTGTGATCCAGGCGCAACCTGGCATGTAAAACGGCATTCGCAATCTATGTGTCATTGTCTTTTTGAACTTCATATAATTTATACCTTACATAGAAAGAATAATTAATTTAAAGAATTAACTTGGTCAATTGACCACTAAAACGTAAATGGATTTATATAATTTTTTTCTCTTAGTCCAATGGATTTTCCATTCAATATAGCCTCAGGCTAACATCAAACAATAGAACCATATTTTAATAATAATAATTTTTATTATTCTTAATTATTACAATATTGGTAATTAATATACACATATATTTTTTTACAATGTAGCTTCATAGGACCTGCTGATACATAGGAATATATTTTCAACCTTGGACTTAAGTTAATTATTAATTTATTTATTTCATTACATATCACTACTTTCATTGATAATTACTTTATATATTTTTTAAATAATTTTATCATAATTTTTTTCTCTTGTGTGTTTACTGTTTAGTGTCTTGTGTTCTCTAGTGGTGTTGGAACAACCATGGACGTTTTATCCAGTATCCACTTCACGATCGATGTGTGATAAGCTCCTTTGCATTAAATTGTTAAATAAACAGAATTTTTTTTAAATTACTCATTAAATTATTTGTTTAAATGTTATTATAAATAATTTTTAAATTTTTATCAATTGTTTTACCGTTCAAAATGGCTTCGGATGTGGTCTCATTAAAAAAATGATTGTGGGGTTTGTGTAATTGTTTAATTTATTTTATTATTATTAATTTTTAAGGGCGTTTTAACGGCTAAGGTCATTTCACGCCCTAACATCCAAACCTTCTATCTTAGGGTAGCTATATCTCTTCTGAGTGCTATAAAGCTCTGACTCCAAACATTCACTCGTAATCTAATTTATCCTATTGCCATCCAAGCTTTAATTTTTCTTTTTAAAATTCTTAATTCGGAAGGCCAAATGGTATACAAAATTCCCATTTTAAATTGCATAAAATTTAATAAAATTATAAATTTTAAAGCTTTTAACTTTCCATATCATTATATTTTTAACTGCATACTTAATTATTTGTATTTATTTATTTAATTTTTTACATTCTCCTACTTTTATTGATAATTAATTTTTATTTAAATATTTTTTTATTGTATTTTTTGATATATATTTTTTTTTGTTTTGTGTATTCAGAAGGCATTGGATCAATAATGGCTGTTTTGACAATTCCAGCATCCATATGCAGTAAGTTTCTTTGCCTTATATTTTGTTCATAGTTAAACAAGTAGAGGAAAAGCATTATTATTGTTTAATTGAGACATTATAGATGGGATATAAATAATTTTTATATGTTATTGTGAATATTTTGATATTTTTATCAATTTTTTCACCATTTAAAATGGCCTTGAGAGAGGTCAGTTTTAATAATTTTATTCTTAAACCTTCCTTATTTTTCATAGCATTATATTATATTAAGTAAATCTATTTATTCGTTTTTATTTTACTTATTACCACTTTTATGGATGAACAATGTTTTTTTTATAATTTTTAAATAATAATTTTTTTCTTATTGTTGGTTCAGAAGGCGTTGGAACAACCACGTCCGTTTTATCAACTTTAGTGACAACAAGAAGTAAGTTTCTTTCCCTTATAATTATTAAAACACCAACAAAAAAAAAAACATTATTGTTTATTGAGACATTATAGTTAATATATTTAAACAATTTTAAAAATCATTATAAATAATTTTGATATTTCTATCTTAACAAAAATCTAACTGCAAAGAAAAGGTCATGGTTCCAGACCCTCGCCAAACAAATTTACCTAATAATATACACACTGCGGCAAACTTTTTTATTGCTTAACACTTGACCAATTTCTGAGGACAGGAGAGGTGGGCGTAGGGAAGGCAGAGAAATCAGAAGAAAACAGACAAAATTTCCAAATTCCTCATTTGCATCAGTGATAAACTGGCCAAGCGTTAAGCGATGAAAATAAATAAAACTTTTTTTGAAAACGGTTAGCGTTTTGTTGAAATATCACACTTTTTTTATTCGCTTCAACATTGTGGACGTCTTTTTTTTTTTTTTTTTTTCAAGGCCCAGGAGCGGTTATGCATGTGGTAAATTTTCCCTTGTAAGAAGGGAAAATTTCTATTTTCAGATTCTTACCTTTACTTATAACATAAGGCCTACAATGTACCAAATATCACATTTCTACTTATACGAAAGTGCCTTATAATTTTAATGATGAGACTACCTTCCCCCCAGCAGCACCTAATTTTGAGAAAATTGTAATTATTAGATTCTTACCTGTTGGTTAAGCCATAGGCTTATTGTAATTAAAATAATAATAAAAAATAATTAAGTGAACTCTCAAATAATTAACATAAGGGAAAACAATGAGAAAATCACTTGCTGAGAGTAGCAATGTTTCACTCACCTTACTTCGCTCCTGCAGGATAATAACGCCCGTTGGTCTGCTCCAAGGCCTTAGAGTTTTCCTTTGGGAATGATGAGGAAATGCCATTAACACCTTGGCTGTGAAACATAAACAGCACTTTTTGGAAGATAATTTTCTCGTGTTGCAATACGGATGAGAAATACTTCATTGAGAGGGGAAAGACGTTAACTAATTTTATGATGATTTTTTGTGGACTAAACAACTGACTGAAAAGAGACAAGCCTCACACCATCCGCCAACTAAGCCTCTCATCATTCGGCAGGCCAATCAGAGGTGGAAGGCTTAAAATAAAGAGAACTTAATTGAATTTTAATAAGACTTTTTAATTAACTAATTTTTAATAAGAAAATAGAATAAATTACGCTTCGGCTAAACACCTTTACTTATAAGACCTAAATTTGTACCACATATCACATTTCTACTTATACGAAAGTGCCTTATAATTTTCTTGATGACTACCTCCCGCCCAAACTAAGCAGCACATAATTTTGAGAAAATCGCAATTTTTTTGCAACATTTTGCAAAATTGCATTTAAAAGAGGCAGCCTCAAGGCCTTCCAAACCTTGACCTGAGTAGATGCTCCCCTGTTTTTTAAATCTCACTGGCCAGCTTCATGTTGTTTATCAACCTCCATAGCCTTTCCAGCAGCTCCTTAGTGTAGGATCTTGCTTGCGGTTTTTCCTGTCCTAGTTACATGAACCTGCACCTACACCTTCACAGAGACATGTGTTCTGCGGTCTCCTCCTCTTCCTGGCAGTACCTGCAGTGTTTCTTCAGTCTGTCTCCTATCTGGTGCATGGCTTTCTTAAGCAGCAGTGCCCGTGGTTGCCTTTCAGTACTTCTTTTATGTTTTGTGGATGGCCCTCCTATGAATCTCTTCATGTGTTGCTCCACCAGGTTTTGGACTCATTAAGGATCCATTTTAAGATGTATCCTCTTTTGCAGCAAGACGCTAAGCGACAGTAGGGTTCAGGACCTAGAGAGTTCATGCTGGCTCCATCTTTGGCCAACGTGCTAACCTTTTTGTTGGCTTTATGCCCCGAGAGCCCAGGGACCCTCCCATATACTTAACAAAACAATAATTAGATGCCCAGCCTAAATGACCCGTTTGAAAGCAAAAAAGTTTGTAATTTTATTCAATCAGGGACTGAGTGTGTAATCCCCAGACACTACCAGACTACGTCTCGGGTGCAACAAAATTTTATTATATGTATAATGGGTAATATTTGAGGGTTGTAAATAAAAAAGAATGTAGTTTATTCAATCTTTTCATTTAAAAAAAGAATATTCACATGCTACTTTAAAAAATAATTAATTTAAAATTACACTTAAAAAATAATGCTTTAAAAAAATTGCTAAACACTAAATTTAAAATTGACTATTAAATTTAGGAACTAAAATCAATGTAGACAAGAAAGTAAATAATTAATCAGTCTTACAACTAACGGGGAAAACGTTGAGTATTCGTTGACTCCATTAAAATGGAATTTTAATACTGATAGATCAGTCATGATGACAATAAATAAAATAAAATAACAGCATTGTGTCAAAACAGAAAAAGAAAAGAGCGTGAAGCTCTTTGTGTAATTAATAAAAAATATTAAAAAATGTGTGAAATATATGAATTTTCAAACAGTATGAAACAAATTTGTCAGTTTTTGTTTTATTGACGGCATCCTTCTGCTTCATGAATTGTCCTTGGAACGCCATATGATGTGTTTTGAGTGCATGTGAGAGACAAGGGACGACTTGTGGAGCGAGATGTATGAGCATTCGGAGCAGGCGTACTGTCTGTCTCGGCGGTCGACTAGTGCCGGTTTGGAGTGTGCCAGGCTTGTGTGCGCTTCGACGTTCACTTTCGAAACTGACCTAAGGGGAGAAAAAAATAAAAAACAAAAACCTTCCAGTTCCAGGGAGGGAAAAAAGATCTCACTTGAAATGGCACTGTTGGCATGAGTACTCGGCGAGGCCAGCGACTCGCAGGCACTCCTTGTCCATCCTCTCGCTACTACAGTGTACCGGGTGTTCGCAATGTTATTTGCCTTCTGAGACCGCCTTGAACCACAGGCCTGGACTTTTTCATATCTAACAGCTCAAGACAGATCTAGACAAAAGTAAACCAATTAGATATAATATTTTAGATATAATATTTAAAAACAATTTTTTTCCATCATTCCTCCTGGAAAAGAAAATTCTCAAAGACACAAACTAATAATAATAAACATATACAATCCCTAATCCCAAACCAGCCGGTCCTTATTATTAATTAACGTGAAAAAATAACCGCTTATTTAATAAAAATTAAAATTAATGACTGTTTTACTTACTCATTTGTTTACAAACCATGGAGACCGATAACCTGTCCCCGGTAGCCTTTATTACAACCTTCGTAAACAACGGATAACCCCCTATCATGGCCGGTTTAAAAAAAGCTCTTTTTGTAAATTAAAGCGTAAAATTTTTATATTTTTTTAATATCGATTTATTTAATATATAATCATCCAACGGTATTTCTTCGTAAAGATAAATTTACAAAACGGCTATGGATGTAATTTCACTTGCCAACCCCCTCCCAACAACATCGAGCGCCAAAAATGCTAAACGAGTTTTTTAACATTATTACAACTTTACCACTTTAATTAAACAATTAAAATTCAATTATTTATTAATAAATCGATAACACTAGATATCCATGAGTGAAACCTTGTCATTACAAGGAACAATAGAAAACCTTCATATCGTTTTATTTATAAAAATATAATTTCATCATTTTCTAATTTTTTTTCTTACATTAAACAGCCGAACCGAATCCTACCAGCAACCCCTCTCCTTCCATCTTATCACCCTTTAACAAGAGTTTTGGGCTTGACAGAAAACCGCATCCGCCCCAATCAAAGGTGTCATACATTCCGTGCCGAGTGATTCACTGGCAACCGGGGTTAAGTGGCTGTCTTGAACGGAGCCTCTCTGACACCGGGCGACATCAGAGAGTAATTAGCCTTACTCCATCATGCGGGGCTCTGATGGAGTGGACCTTTTAGTTCCCTAGCTACTCGTGAGAATCATATGAGTATAGAAACCAATAAACCAAACCTGGAGCAGAATCTCACTGCTCCAAAAACACCTAGGAATCTGGTGGAATGGACGTTTATTCCATGGAAGCAAAAGACCTCTCCCAACAAAAGACAAACAACAGTCGCTACGTGGGAAACCAATCACCACACAAATGAAGGGCCTTCAGGAGTTCAGGTAGTGACACAAGAAAATACAGACCCTCCTCTTGGGAAACCAAAAGGGAAGAAAAAAGTCTCTGCCAAACTGTCGAAATTAGGAGAACCAGGCGGGAAAGATGACCCTCTCAGGAAAGGTCTTAGCGGCGCTATGACCAAATGGTACCTGAGAGCGATAAGATTGGGAATACACCCGAAGAAGCAAGGAAGATGGCTGACGAAAGAAAGGCCAAGATCCAAAAGGAAAAACTGGAGACACATCCATCCAGCAAGAAGGCAAGAGAACAATCTCTAATCCCCAAAGAATTAAGGAAAGAAAAGAAGGCAAAGCCATCCACACCTCAGTCACAGTATAGGGCCAGAGAAGTTGCTCCAGGTGTTAGCTACGCTGGAATAGCAAAGATTATAAGGGTGTCTTTGCTACCAGAGGCATACCCCCTCATAACCATGGAAGAGCTAACCCATCTAGAGGAAACCCTCTTGAAGATATCATAAAAGGATGGGAAGCCAAAATAAAGTTCGAAGGCATACACTTCAGGCCAGGCATGTTGTCAAGATGGCAAAACTGTACAGTGGCTACAGGAGATAACCCCTAAATTGGAGCTGAACAAAGAAAAGAAGCTGGCAGTGAGGGTAGGGGAATGTTCCCAAACCTCACTCGACTGTAGTGTTCTTCCCTAGGACAAATCTAGGAGAAGAACAGAGAACACTAGTATTGGTCAACGCACAGAACGATGGAATCTGTACTGAGGAGTGGAAAGTTCACTCAGTGAAAGCGGAGGGGCCTGGGATTGTCATGATCCTGAGCATTGATGAAATCTCGGCAGAGATGATAATTCAAAGAGGACACACCCTCAATTATCGTTTCAGGAGGATCCTGGTAAGGGGCCTGAAAAAGGCAGGGGGAGGAGGATACAAAATGGGAGAAATCCCACACCTCCACCCGAATCACCCCCCATCTATTCAAACGAAGCAGCCCCCAACAGCAATGCCTCCACCCACGGAGACTACCTTTGAAAACACTGTCGAAAGGGAAGTTGACCAGGTTATCCTGGGAACCCAGACCCCCCTCTTCCTCTACAGATAGAGCTGAGAATGCTCATCGAGGAGGAGCTATTGGGTGAGGAGATGTCTCCTCCTCCCCCAAAAGAATAACTCTATATGAAGAAAATGAGAATAGCCCAGGTGAACATCAATCATGCTAAAGCTGCCTCGGCAGTAACAACTAGGATGTTCACTGCGCAACATCTATGGGCAATTCTCATCTAGGAACGCTGACAGTGGAAAGGACAAATTAGAGGTTTGTCCTGCAAAGATGGTAAGGCTGTATGGGATTCCAGACAGGATAATCCCCGTGCATGTATATTTATTAGGAAAAACACTATTATCTCTCCCTTTCAGAATTCATGACTAGAGATTTAGTTCCCATCAAGGTGGAGATGACAACCGATGGGAAGAAACTGGAAGCAGTGGTAGCATCGGCATACTTCCCAGGAGAGCAGAACCACCCTCCCCCGAAGAGCTATGAAGACAGCCAGCTACTGCGGCAAGAAGAACCTCCCTTTACTGATGGGATGCGATGCCAAAGCACACCATCAAAGCTGGGGAAACACCAACAACAACAAACGATGTGTTGCTCATAGAATTTTTGGTGAAGGAAAAATTAGAAATACTTAATATAGGATCAACCCCTACCTTTGTCATCAAAGTGAGACGAGAAGTATTGGATATTACCATTGTAGCCAAGCCCTACATAAAGTGATAAAAAATTGGAGGGTTTCAGGTGAAGAGTCGATGTCGGACCACAAAATAATAAGGATTGACATCGAATCAGATAAGACAGACCCTACACCATTTCGGAACAGACTGGGCCAGGTACACGGAAATGGTAAGACATAGTCTAAACCATGCAACAGTGAAGAGAGTACAAAAACCTGCAATAAATAGGAACTTGCAGTTATGGAATTCACAGGGAATATAATTGATGCATATGAGTCAAGTTGCCCTGTGAAGGTCCCAAAAGTAGACAAGAACCACCTTGGTGGAACGCAGAACTGGGCAAACTAAGGAAAGAAACCAGGAAAGCATTTAACAAAGCTAGAATAGCAAGTAACTGGGGAGAATACAAAAGGTTACTTACTTCATACAACCATGCCATCCGCAGGGTGAAAAAAGAAAATTTTTGCAAATTCAGCGGAGAAATCTCCACAGTATCTACAGCAGCTAGATTGCACAGGGCACTAGCAAAGGACAGAATAGATATAAACACTGCCCTAAGGAACGTAGAAGGTAACTATACAGAAGATGCGAAACAAAAAACAATGCTCCTTTTAAGTACACATTTTCCAGGCAGCACCTATGACATCCCCCAAGAAAATGTGAGAGTAGATAATCCCAAGAAAGAAAATTGCAAGAAAGCAGCTGAAATAGTCACAGAGAAAAAGATCCTCTGGGTGATTAACACTTTCAGCCCATACAAAGCACCGGGAACGGATGGGATTTTTCCCATCCTTCTACAAAAAGGAATGGATATAATCACTCCAACACTGATGCGATTATATAGAAGCAGCTTAGCACTAGGTTATATACCACAGACATGGCGTAGGGCAAAGGTAGTGTTTATACCGAAAGTCGAAAAAAGAGATCCTCCACTCCTAAATCCTACAGATCAATCAGCTTAACATCCTTTCTACTAAAAACCCTTGAAAAGCTGATAAACAACCATATAAGAACGACATCACTGGTAGAAATTACACTGTACCAGCTAACAAGTGACCTAAAGGAAACACTGGGAACAAAGGAAATAGCAATCTGTGCGTTCCTCGATATTGAGGGAGCCTTCGGCAATGCATCAATGACACGTATACCAAACCACATCCAGATGGATTGGAGAAATGCTAAGAACTAGCTGAAACAAATATAGGAACAGACACTATAGAAATTAGCACAATCAAGGGATGTCTTCAAGGAGATATACTATCACCTCTTCTATGGAGCCTAACAGTTGATGAACTGCTCAAGACCCTGAACTGCACAGGGTTAAAATGTCAGGGATATGTGGACGACATAGTACTGACTGCCAGGGGAAAATTCGAGGAAACTCTGCGATATAATACAAGAGGGGCTAAAAATCACAGAAGAATGGTGTACACCATGATAGTAAGACCTATACTTAAATAGGAGCTATAGCCTGGGCTGACAAAGCAGAATAAGCATCTAAAAGGAAAGAACTCACAAAAATACAGACTTGCATGCATCTGCAAAACGGGAGCAATGAGAACATGTCCTACAATTAGCATGGAAAAAGTACTGGGATTAATCCCCCTTCACCACATGGTAATAAGGACAGCACAGAAAACCATCATTAATTTTACCAAAGAGAAACCTCCAACAGGAATAAAACTAAAATGGAAAGATAGCAACAAAATATGGAAAGACCATCTGATACTCATGGCTCCAAGAGACGACATGAACAGGATGTTTGAATTTAATTTAATTAACTTCTGAATAAACCTAGGAACCAAAAAAGAATGGGAATGAGAGGGAAACACCTCTTTCAAGAATGGCACCATCCTTTGGTACACAGAAGAATCTAGAACACAAGAAGGTACAGGGGCAGGAGTATTTGGACCTGGAACCAAATACTCAGAACCCATGGGAAAATACATCAGTATATTCCAAGCTGAGATTCATGCAATCGAAAGATGTACCCAAATCAACCTAAGTAAAGGGCATCAAGCACTAAGCTCAAACATCATTAGTTTAAGGATGGTGCTGAACTGCAAAAACCAAACTAAACATGTTAGGTACGCAGAACAAAGTCAGCCTTTGCTGGGTCCCAGAGAACACGGGAGTAGAAGGCAATGAGAAAGTGGACATCCTTGCAACGCAAGGAGCTGCTACACTGCTGACAGATCTGAATCCTCTGTGGCATAGGAACCCACACTATTAACGAGAATCTCAGACAGATGGACAAAAAGAAAATGAGGGAATTCACTCATTGGACACAGACAGTCCAAGAATCTTCTAACCAATTTTGGAAGGAAAGAAATTACAGAATGTGTCAAGGGAAGCAGGAATAAAATGCAAATCCTAATCAGATTCCTAACAGAACTCTAAGTTAAATGGACACTTAAAGGAGATTGAAATAATCCAAAATGGCACATGCAGATTCTGCAAGAGGCAGAAGAGACACCAACACATCTACTAACATACTGCGGTGCTACACTAGCCCGCAGGAGGAAATGTTTTGGGATATATAATGTGACCATAGAAGAGCTTCAACCACTGAAACCGGGCCTGTTAAGTTCCTTGATGAAATAGGACGGGGGATACATACGATAGCTCTTAAAGGGTGCAGTATACTATACCCTGAAATTACATCTACATCTACAACAGCCGAACCAAATAATTTGCAATTAAAACAATTAAAAATTGCTTTCCCCCATCTTTTTTTTTTTTGTGCCATTTATTGATCTTTATTTGCATTAAAAAGATGGATAGCCAGGATTGTAACATATAGCCTTCTCACAAAAGGAGAACTTGTTTATATTTTGTTTAATAGATTTTTTAATTATATTTTGAAATAATTAACAGTTTCAGACTAATCTAAAACGCCTCGTCTTAATTATTATCATTCTCTCATAAGCCATAGGGCGAAAAAAAGAACAAACCTTGTGTCGTCTGTGGACACAGTGTTTTCTATCTTGGAACTTAGAAAAACCCCAAACCCTTCTATATCTAATCTTTCTAGCAGTTTAATTGAATTACTGCAAAATGTTTAATAGTTTGACAAATAACGATTTGACACTATTCGAATTTTTCTCTTGTCACTTTTTATTTTTACACTGATTGGTGATAAGAATGAATGGATAACCGGACATGAACCTTTGCGATAAGGAAAAGTTGGTAGTTGCATTCTTTTTTTAAACAATTGTACAATCTTTAAACAATCAACAACAATACATTCAAATCGTTTAAAATCAATTTATTGTTAATTCAATTGTTTAAAACGATAATTATCAATTTAATCGTTTTTTCCATGTTGAATTTATCTTAGTTACAGTGTTGAAATTTTACCAATTTTGAGGTCTACCTTCCCCAGAGATGAGGTTCTTTAAAAAGCTCTGGTGAAAAAAAAAAAAAAATAAGAATTTAGCCGGATCGTTTTTTTAAAATCATGTTGAGGATTTTCCGCCCTTTGGCATTGTCGAGGAGGTTCCTCGAGACACACTTCGGATATGAGACTGTGCCGGAGGATGAGAAAGGGCGCCGGGTGAACGAGGTGAAATTTTACTTGTTCTTTAAATGTCAGTCTCTTGTGAGATTGCAGTATTATCTTGACCTTGGTAGTAAAGGAAAACGGGATTAAAAAAAATAATTTATTGCATCATTGTACAATGTCGGTTTGATGCAGGTTTTTGCACGCGTCGCTGATAAGTATGACATGATGAATGATGCCATGTCGTTTGGAGTTCACAGGCTTTGGAAGGACTGCTTCGTCGAACGGCTGGGCCCAACTTGTGGGACTAAGCTCCTCGACGTCGCCGGTGGTACTGGAGACATCGCATTCAGGTTCGACACGTGATTTTGTCATTGTTAAATGTTCATTCAACTGTATTTTATCTAGGTTCTTGCAGTATTTGAAAAACCAGAGCGAGACAGGCCATGCGACCGTTTTGGATGCAAATGAGGAGATGCTGCGTGTTGGTGAAGGACGGGCTGAACGACTCGGCCTGTCCAAAGATTTAACTTGGACATACGGTGACGCCGAAAAGCTCCCATTTCCAGATAGCTCATTCGACGCTTACACAATTGCCTTTGGCATACGCAACGTCACACACATCGATGCTGCACTTAGAGAGGCGTATCGCGTCCTCAGGCCAGGTGGCCGTTTCCTCTGCCTAGAGTTCAGCAGGGTCACGAACCCAATCCTGAGCCGAATCTACGACTCCTACTCATTCCAGATGATACCGGCTATGGGTCAGGTGATCGCCGGCGACTGGAAGTCTTACCAGTACCTTGTTGAGAGTATAAGGCAGTTCCCGGATCAGGAACGGTTCAAAGCAATGATACGCGATGCCGGCTTCTATGATGCTAAGTATGAAAACATGACGTTCGGTGTTGTCGCTATACATTCAGGTTTCAAGTTGTAAATAAAACATTTTTTTTAATTATTAAAAAAAAAATCATAATTGTTCTTATTTTTTTATTAATAGATGGTTGAATTTTTGAAAAATAAATTTACAAGGGGGGAAGGGTTTGAAAAAAAAAAATCATCCATCCATTAAGACTATAACAAAATTATCACATTTATTCCCGCCTGTCATACGACTCACTCACTCGTCAACATCCATGCTTAATCATTTAAAAAGAAAAATTAATTACAAATTGCGTTCATCAGATCTTTTTTTAAATATTTTTTATTATTTTTTGTTAGGCAAACACTCGTATTGACTAGTCTTATCCTGTCCTGAATTTTCATTGTTTTTGCCTTTTTTAATTTTTTCTTAATAAATTTATATATGTATATATATATATTTTTTTTTTTACAGAAATAAGCTTAAAAAGAAATAAGTATATAAATATTGCTATATACATAATTATTATTTGTAATAAAATATAATAAATTGGAAATAATAGTACAATCATTATAAAACTTAACATAGGATTATTATTTTTCTTCTTCTGTTTCTGTATTCTTTATATATATATACTTTTTTTTAAACCAATTTCTTAAAAATAATAAATCCTTTAATAATAATTTAAAAAAAATGGAAGGAAAAGGGTTTATGCGGGTGTTGCCCTTTTTTGTTTGTTTTTGTACAGAATATTTACAGAAGACGAAAACAGAATCGCGAAACGTTCAGCTCGGTGGACATCAGGTGTCGATGACGTGGTGGACCTGAGCTGTCGTCTTGACTTGGTTTGGCAGGAGCGGGGCGGTAGGGTCATCGGACGGTGGTGATATCTGTATCGCAGTCTCTTTCTGTTGTGGTGGGGTGGGTACGGCCTGGCTCGAATGGCCGCTGGCCCCTCGCAGGGCATCCGACTTGCTCAGCCTCTCGTTCAACGCTTTCAAAGCGATTTGCCTAAAAATATAATATATTTTTTCTTATTAACAAAATATAAACCAAAAACAAACAAGGCTTATTAGGTTTTAAGTTGACCTGCGCCTTTCCATGTCGTGCGGGTCGTTCCCGGGCAGTGTGACTGTGACTCCGGTCGGCGCGGTGGACATGTCGAACTTCCTCACCGTACGTCTGCACAGGCCAGCTTTCACAAGCGCTGAATAGACCATGTTAGATATCACGGATATCGCTGGCTGGAGAACATTGGGGAAAAAGCTGGGAGGGGAATTTATTATTATTAATACATCGTTTAAATTCTATTTATGCAGCATTTATATTCTTAAGTGCTCACACCTAGGCATTGGCCCACACAAATACATGTAATCTCCCTGTTGTGTGGTTATCTTTTCCAACCTTACTATAATTTTGCTCATATTTGATATTATTGTTTTATAAGCTTGTATATACTGTTAATAAACAAAATTATTGTCTGATATGTTAAATAATTAAAAGGTAGAAAAGAAAGACAAGGAAAATATGTTAATGCATTATCGACCAGGACAATGGAAGACACAAATCAAATCTTACTGTATGGTTATCAATTCATCCCACGAATGATAAATAATTTCAACTTTTATACCTGTTTGTACAGAAATTTAACAATTTTAATGAGCTTTTATGTGATGAAAAACAAACAGTTTCATCCCTTGACAGTTCAACTCGCAGACCAACACACCACGAACCTGGTAATGCAAACCCGATCTTATCAATATAATCTAACCTGATCCGGCTTCCTTTATATTATTATCATCGTCATCATTATTATTATTATTTAGTAAAAAATATTATCTATGTACCATGTAGATTTGAAGCGTTTATACCAAGGCTTGGCCAGATCTAACATATTTAACCTCACTGTACGGTTATAAATCTTTTCCATCCTTACTCCACTATAATTGTTTCATATTTTATATCAATGTTTTATGTCTGTATATAGTGTTAATAATTATTTGTAATATGTTAAACAATTAACAGATACCAAAGAAGAAGAGGAAAATCTGTAAAATGCATCGTTGTGCAAGACAATATACGACAAATCAAATCAAACCTGACTGTACAGTCAATCTAACCTGTCGAATGATATTTTCTTTATAATATCATTATTATTAATTTTTATTGTTATTTTGTAAACAATATTATCTATGTACCATGTGGATTTGGAGGGCTTACACCAAAGTGTTGGCCAACAAATATATTTAACCTCTTTATACAGATATAAATCTTTCCCAGCCTTATTCCATTATAATTTTTTCATATTTTATATCAATGTTTTATATGTCTGCATATAGTGTTACTAATTATTTGTAATATGTTAAATAATTAACACATAAAAAAAAGAAGAGGAAAATCTGTTAAATGCATCATTGAACAGGGCAATATATGACAAATCAAATCAAACCTGACTCTACAGTCAATCTAATCTATCTCGAATGATATTAAAATAATCCAGCAATAATATAGTATAACCTGACCCAGCTTATAATGTTATTTTGTAAACTATTAATCTAAGGTTAAAAACAAAAAATCGACAGCCTAGTCTCTCTTGACGGTAATAATAAAATTTAACCTTGGTGTATCGTTATCCATGCGATTTAACATAACCCCTTTATAATTACAGTAATCAAATTCGTAAAGAAGTTATAGCGGCTATTATCACGACACAGAAAGACTAAACACGAATAATAATGAGTGAATGGAAACACAATGCTGAAGATGGCGAAACATGTGGACTAATGATGGGAACGACTGAGATACAAGTCCATCATCCCTGGCAGACTCCAAGAAGAAATTTCTCTTATGTACTGTTATTATTGTAGTTTTGTTTTTAAATATTTCAGATTAAATTGCTTTGTAGTGGCAATATGTTGGGAATCGAGAAACGAAGATGGAATAATTACCATCATATGGGAAGGCATTGTAAAAGGTAAGCTTACCTCTTAGTTTTATTTTGTAAAACAATTTCAACGGTGTTGAAAATGTTCTAAATATTGTACTGGAAGGCTTTACAATGTCCAAAAGGGTCAGATTTTGTTAGTAAATTACAAGAATCGAATGGCACAATGTTTTATTGTGAGATTTTACTTTTGAGGTAAGTGGGTTGATATTTGGTGGTTTTCCAACCCTTTTGGTCTGCCTATGTATGTGGATATGTATATTACACCAATAGGCATGCCAAAATGATAAGAAAGATTGCAGGGCTTATGTTATAAGAAAATGACAAATCAACTGTAAATTGATATTATTTTCATCACACCACAGGGCTCCAAGAAGAAGAAATCTTATATTAAAGAAGTAAGTGGATTTAGATGTGGGTTACCTTGCGAAGGAGAAGTTGTCGGCAAGGTCGCCCCGGCTGCCATTGCTGTGCCGCTGGTAGAACCTGAGGTAGGTCCAAGAGACGAGGACCCCTGCGATGAGCATCGCTGGGTTGGTGCCTTCGAGCATGCCGAAAGCGTACAGCCCGAGTGAAAGGAGGACCAGACAAAGTGGGACACTACGGTTAGTGAGCTTCCCGAGCGGAGTCCTTAGTAAAAGTTGGTCCGGCATGGCCTGCTTGACAGCTACCGATAGCCCGGCTATGTACCCGGCCAATCCGTGTACATGTACGAAAAACAGAAGGTCGACGTTGAACGTGCACATGTACAAGAAGAGATAGAAAGCCGTTGTGAGGAGTGCTACGCCCAGGTTGACGACGAAGAAGAAAACTACCATTTCCAGCTGGCCCCAGAGGGGCTCGATCAGCTTCCCGCACAGGCCGACTGTCACAAGGTCGACGCACACCTCCCAGAAGTGCATCTCGAGGAAGCAGAACGTCAAAGCCGTCCAGACGCGGAAACTGGGCGGGATCAGGTAGCCGGGGGTGACGCTTACCAGGTTCACAGCGTCGTCCCAGTAGGAGAGGAAGTGGCCGACGAGGACGACCAGGCATATCGTCTTGACGGACGGGCTCGTGTTGCCCAGGAGGGCGTTCAGCTGCTGCCAGATGTAAGGGATGTTTTTCCACAGTATTTTCAATGACGCCATCTTCCTGGTGTAACAGTCATCCCTCGACGGGCACTAGCACTAGGGCACAATTCTCTAGATCGACAACAGTCACTGATAACCTCCTCTCTATCTCTCACGTCTCAACGCACGCCATATTGGCCCACTCAAAAATTAACAAATTTTAAAAATACAAATATATTGTAAATAACTTAACAACCTAAACAATTTAAAGAAATAAGAAAGACAAACAACACAAAAATAACCTTTTGGAGTTTAAATAATAAGATAACCATTTAGTACAAAAAACTGACTCATATCGCTATATGGAGGTAAAAGTATTTACAATAATAAACAAGATTAATATTATTTATAAACCCATATTAACAACTAAATTAATATGACTATTTTTATTACGTTTACAAAATCAAAACTTTCCTTCATTTCGAGTTATTTTGAAAAAATTAAAAAAAAAGACATTTCACCATATTGAGAAACCCCTTCACTCACTCATTGACACCGAATTATAATAGTTAAATTATCATTTATAATAATTATACTATTATAAAGAGAAATCAACCGAGGTAAGTTCATAAGGAAATAACTCATTATCAAACTTTTTTAAAGCAAAATTATTTAAATAATTTAAGAAAAATAGCCTGACACAATCCGGAATATTGAGAACCTATTATTCATACACACATTGATGTAAAAAACCCGTTAATATAAACTTATAATTATAATAATTATTGTTATTATCAAGAGAAATCAACCAAAGTAAGTTCATTTAACTAAAAGACCATATTAATGTTTTTTTAATGAAAAATTATTTAAACGAATTAACAAAAATAACCTCACACAATCCGCCATATTGACTAACCCCTTCATAGACTCATTAACACCAAATATAAACCAAAATTATTAACTTTTAATTGATAATAATTATTAATATTATAAAGAGAAATCAAACGAAGTAAGTTCATTTTATTAACACGCCACATTATTAATAATTTTCTAATTTTTTAAGTAAAATTGTTTAAATAATTCTAGAAAAATAACCAGACGCAGTAAGGAAGGTTTCATTTTTTTCCACCTTGCCGCCATTTTCATAGATGGTTTTATTTGAAATAATACAATTAAATATCATAACCCACTTTTTCTTATTGACAAATTCTGTCTGTTATTCGATATAGTTATGATTTTTATTTTTATGATCTTTTACAAGTCTACGGAAGGAATTGACCCGTTCATTGGAGTAACCTTATTCGTCGACATTTCGTCAGGAGGTTTCACATTCTTAGATTGGATCTTTTTTCTGACAAGGTTTCAACATGATATCGAGTGAGTAAAATCCAGTTAATTACCGTATTTTTTTTTGTTTTCAATAATTTTTTTAATAATTGCATTCATAAAAAGTACAATCGGCGGTTAAACATGTATATGTGCCATTCACAGCCCTTTTGGTAACATTTGGAAGTTTTCAATTATGACAATTTTAAATATAAATTATTATTTTTACACCAAAACGTCGTATATTTATATCGTATTGACAGTAGAAGTTGTGTTTTATTAATGTCACCACGTAAATTCTAATTTGGATGTTTTGTCAGTAGAAAAAAAAGAAACTCGCAAAAAAATAGCCTGCCTTTCATCGCCATTTTGGTAACACTAGGAAGGTTTTAATTATGGAAAACGATTGTGACGTTTTTTAACGGCAAAACAGCGTTTCTATTAATAAATTCTATCATTCATCGTTAAATTCTATAATTTCATTTATTAAAAAAGGTAATTATTCACTTAGTAAATTACGATTTGAGAGGTCTTACAAAACAATGTAAATTTAATTATAAATAACCTGACGTTCATCGCCATTTTGGTGTAACAGTAGGAAAGTTACAGTCATATTTTGAATTTTTCATAAGCAGCAGGAGAAAAGCGTGATTAAAGAATATTTTAGACCTTATTGTATTAATTTATGGGTGAAAGCCGAAACGAATCATTTATTGGTATTTTTTCTTTTTTCAATATGCTTTTAATTTTGGGAATGATAGGTCCGTCAGGTCTCGCTGACTCACCGACGGGACGCCGATTCCCAGGGTACGTCGTCTTCCCATTGACCCCTTCGTCGACGATAATAACATATATTGTCGCCAATTACCTTCCTGGTTGTTGTGCGGGGTGTAGACGATTTTGAGGACAAACGTCCTTCTCTGAGGGGTGGTTTTGTTGCATACAAGGGGGTTGGAAGCCACCCCGTGGGACAGCCACGCCTAGCATCGGACCGCCCGGCCAATTTGTCGAGGCTAACTCGTATCCAAACAATTTCCAACAAGGGTCAGACGAAGTTTAAATAATTAATCTCTCTTGATTGTTTAGCAATTGATTATTATTTGAAAGTCCCAGAGCGATTTTTGGAGGATGGGTTGAGTGATTGTGATGGAAGAAAGAGTGTGTGAGTGAGTGAGAGAGAGAGAGTGAGAGAGATAGAGCGAGAGAGAGAGAGAGAGAGAGAGAGAGAGAGAGAGCTAGAATGAGAGAATGAACGTTTGAGAGTGAGAGGTAGTGATTAAGAGAGTGAGAGAGAGAGCTGGTGTGAGAGTGAGAGATAGTGAGTGAGAGAGGGAGAGTGTAAACGAGAGTGAGTGAGAGAGAGAGAGAGAGAGTGAGAGAGAGAGAGATAGAGAGAGAGAGAGGGGGGGGGGGGGGGGGGGGGGGGAGAGAGAGAGATATCCATTTTCAACATGAATTTTTACATTTATTTGTTTTGCTTTTTGGAATTACAATATTTTGTTTAACTTTTATAGTGTTGTACTTAACAGATCCATTAAAATTAATTATCAATTAAATTAAACAAAAATTTTACAAACATATATAAAAATTAAATTCTATAACTTTTACTTTATACAAACGAAAGTTTAAAAAGTTCAGTATATTCTATTCATCTATTAATCATGTTAGGAGTACATACATGAGAGATATTCTTTTAGAGCTTTTTTATATGGATTTTGAGATTCACATATTTTTACATAATTGGGAGTTTGTTATCCAGTAGAATACTTCTTGGAATAAATAAATTTTGGTATGATTGTGTTCTTCATAATAGGTTTTATTCATTCTATTTAGGCATGTAATTTTTGATAGCATGGGTTGTATCATTTCTACTAGGTAGGATGGTTTATTCGTCCATCTCATATTAAATAGAGTAATATGCATTATGTCTTCTATTTACAAAAGGTCTAAAGCTTTATATTTGTCATGTATTCTTGAATCGTATTTTAGATTGCTTATATATCTTATATATGAATTTAGGACAACTTTTATTTTATGGTTGTTGTTGTAATTTAGATGTGATATTACAGCTAGACAGTATGTAACATATGGAAGCATTAAAACTTTATACAATTTTAACTTTAAGTTTTTGTTATTAGTTTTTAACAATTTTTGAGAGAGAGAAAGAGAAAGCGAGAGGGAGGGAGGGAGAGAGAGTGAGAGAGAGTGAGAGAGAGTGAGAGTGAGAGGGGGTGAGGGAGAGTGGGAGGTCTCTCACTCCCTCTCTCAATTTCTCCCTCCCTCACTCGCTCGCTCATTTACTCACTCTATCACTGTCTCTTTCAATCTTTCACTCCTTATAAATTGAGAGAGTGAGTGAGGGATAGTGAATTATTGAAAGAGAGAGACGTATGATTTTTGAGAGTGAGTGAGAAAGGCATAATTTTTCTTAATGCTAAGACAGGGCCAATTTGTGTAAATTCTTAAATTGATTTTGGGCTTTTTTGAGAAGATTTTTGGGCAGCAAACTATGGGCCCATATAATCAGAGGCCATTGTCGGCCAGTAGACTGTTTGGAGTTATACTGCACGTTTTACTAGAAAATCCATGTAATAAATTAATAAAATAATGGTTTTAGATGAAGCTTTTTTTAATGAAAGTGTGTTTCGTTCGGGTACCTATTGACTGTTCTTACAATGAAACTAGCCCATCATGCTCATTATTATTAGCACTAGGTCATCGGTATAATCTACGATAAGGTACCCTAGTCTATTTAGTCCCACAATCAAGTCATTTACCAACAATTGAGGCGATAGTACATCCCCTTGGGGGCATCCCTCACATTTTTCGTCATTTTTTTTTGTTAAGATTCGACTTAAGATGTTCAAAATCCGTCATGTTTTATCAACCATTGCCTGTCAACGGCTCATTCCTTTTTCGACAATTAGGGCCTGCAAACATCATGTAAATAACAGGCTTTTCACCTCCCCCCGTTATTTTATTTCTTTTTTTATCTTTCTATTTGTTGTAATTATTTATTGGGCCGGCCACGGTGGATCGCCGACACGCGGCACGCTTGTTTCCCAGGGGCGGAGATTTCCTCCGGGCGGATAATTAATAAGCCACCCTTCCGGGGGAGGACGGCGCGTGCCGGGCCTGTCACGCTCTGTCGCCTCCCATGGCCCGTGGCCACCTTTCACTTCGATGGGTCCGCATGTACTCGTCAAATGTAAAAAAAAAATGCGGTCTAGAGCTAAGTTTTGAATAAAATAAAATAAACTATACAGGGTGTTCGGCTACTCGTGTTACAAACTTTGCCAGCAGATTCTACATTCAAAATAGTACCAAAATGTCCTAATTAACTATGGTCCGAATCTCAACAGTTTCTTCTTCTTCTTTTCTTGAAGTATTTGAACAAGGCGTCATAGACCTCCGTGTCACCCTCTGCCAGCAGCGAGCTATAAATAACTACGTTAAATGTCCATTAAGATGTGGTCAATAATAAACTTGTAAACGTTGGTGAAATAAGCGTTTTAGTATACAGAACATACTATGGCGATTCTAAATTACTATTTCCAATCCTGGAGACCAGCAAATTTCAGAAAACGTACTCCATTTAATATCCTTTGTTGCAAGTAGTGTGAGCGAGTGGAGTGAACGAGTGAAAAGAGAAAGTGAGTGGAGTAAACGAGTGAAGTGAGCAAATAGAGTGAATGAGTGGAAAGAAAGATAGAGTGTAGCGTGGCAGTGAGCGAGTTGAGTGAATGAGTGAGCGAAGTCCGAACATTAAAAGAAACGTAAATAAAAGAAAAGTTGAGTTTTTTTAATCTTTCCACCTTACCAGTCCGTCAACCACGGATTTTTCCTTTCCGTTCATAAATTTCTTCATCTTTGGCTAATTAAAAAGCAATTACACCACTAAAAAGGTTATTAAATGGAGTACGTTTTCTGAAATTTGCTGTCTCTAGGTTTGGAAATAGTAGTTTAGAATCACCATAGTAAGTTCTCATCTTATTTTATATATTACCAACTCCACGGTTCATATATTCTCTATTGATAGGTTTAAAAATTCCAAGTTCTCCGTGGTTGAAAACCTTTATTCAATTTAGTAAATTACATGGAAATTATACCATGAGATTTCTCTATGTTTAGTTTCTGATGATGGGCCAGGAACGTCCATGTAATTTACTAAATTGAATAAAGGTTTTCAACCACGGAGGAGAACTTTGAATTTTTTAACCTATCAATAGACATAGTAAGTTTTCAACTTTGAAAAAAAAATTAATTTTCAAAGTTCTGTCTATCAAAATGCTTTTTTCACCAACGTTTACACGTTTAGTATAGATCATATCTTATTGGGAATTTAACGTCGTTTTCATAGTATCAACGGATTTGTCCAAAACCTTTCTGTTTTGGAGTTGTCATTGTTTATTTGAAGCAAGACCGTGAAATCTCACAAAATCAGAAAAAAGAGGAATAACTCCGAAACTGTTGAGATTCGGACCATAATTAATTAGGACTTTTTGGTTCCATTTTGAATGTAGAATCTACTGGCTATGTTTGTAACACGAGTAGCCGAACACAGTGTATATTTGAAACACTTCCCTTTCTTTATACATACATACATATATATATATATATTTTTTTTTTTGCAAGCCTTATTTGTGTTTTCCGGATCAAATAGAGTCCGTAGGAAGGGGCCTGGGGCCGATTGATTCTCCGGCACCCTTGTGGGAAAGATGTTTGTTGACAGAGAGCTATTTGCGAAGGGCGGCCCTGTTTGAAGGGCCTTCCTCTTTACACGGTTAATAGCTCTTGACAAATGCCCCCGGGGAGACGGTGGAAAACCGCGGTGGGACACGCTCGGCCCATTTATCAATCTGTTTAACACGCTTCGTTTGAGATGTAGGACGCGGGCCGAGGCGAGGGTGGTTGGTCTTTTATTTTCAACCCAATTGACCCCTCGTAGGACACGATCCAGTTCTTCTCTCCCTTTTCCCAACCACCAAACCATCCCTCGTACAATGCACGGTCGGCACATTAGATATTCATATTTGCGTTGGAGAGAGAAC